CGCACACACACAAACACATAGCACAAAACGCATAAAAATGTGGGACGGCCGCAGTCCGAAAATTTTAACCTAGATTAGCAAGAAGGAACGCGACGAAGAAACAATAACTAATCAATGTATCAAAGCTACCACGGCTGCTCGGGCTATCAGTGTGCATCTCCCCAAATTATTGATGCTACCCACATGCCCAGCGCAGTGGACTACATTTTGCCATATTATTCGCAATACAGAAACAGCGGGGCAAGGATGCGGGGACTAGTGATGCACGGGAAGGAGGATGGGGATACAGCTGGAGAGGGGTACGGATACAGTTGGGAGGGAGGAAAGCGTACAGTGGAACTGGCGCGGAAGGGATTAAAATGATAAATAATTTGCGGCCTCTGGTATGCCGACCTGTTCTGAAGTACGCGGGCAGTCCGAATATGAGAACTTAAAAATCGTCTTTACATTAAGTTAATGAAATGAATACAGCACACAGTAGATGAGCGAGTGTTTGTGCTCAACACACATCTAGTGACATTTCAGAAAGGCTCAAACTTTGCCAGAGTACTTCTTTCGCGAGAACCACAAAACTGCTAAATTTTTCAAAAATCCGAACAACTTTTGTCTGATAAACGGCGGACCGAAAGCAAAAGCAAAGTTTATGACGATTTATATCAAAACTATGGCCTGGAACTGTAGGTCATGGAATACCACAGCAACTTGGGCGCAATCCCGATATGCAAACCTATGAACAATTGGCGAAAGGGATAGGAGGGCGAGGGAAGGGGGAGAGGGATCATATCGAAGGGATGAAGATGAGATTACTGTCCCGAAAGGAGCTGAGATCTTGCTTGGTGGTAAGAATTCGAACCAAGAGCGGGGTTTGCGGAAGCCGGTGTTCTACGGGGTTTTTATACTCAGCATAAAATTCTATGTCGCTCGAAAATCAGCGATTTTGAACAGTACACCCCCAGAGTGCCCATCTAATTAAAAAATCCCGGTACCGTAATTTCCGCAACTCCTACCTGAACCCAAAAGCGAGTGCATTTTGCAACGATTGAGCCTGGGCGAATTTTAGTGAGTACTGGGCGTCGAATTTTAGTGCCGAATTGGACGAATTTTAGTAGGTATAGGTACCGAATTTCAGCAGACCGAGTATCGATTTTTAGTAGGGTCGGATACCGAATTTTAGTTAAAGCGGGACGAGTTTTAGTAAGCGTCAGATGTCGAATTTTAGCTGAGCTGGGGGTGAGTTTTAGTAGGGGGCCGGGCGTCGAATTTTTGTGCTGCGACAAACTGATTGTTGTTGGCTGGTATTGGTGTCCCACGGGGTCTTTGGGGGGTGGGGTTCCCTAATGGCCAAGTCCCCCTGCAAGGTGTTTTTGAGATTTACAGCGGATGAGGCGGGCGGGGGGATATTGTGTTCCTTGCTGGCAAGGTCCCTTTCTGGGGTCTCCGTTGGGTTCAGACCTAACAGTCAACGGATTAAACTTATTGTAGGCAAAATTACCCGAATGCTTAGGGCTACATCTAGCCATGGGTACTGCTACCCGTGATATCACTAACATGGGTTACTCACATTGACCCTCACACAGACAGTAAGCTACCTTACCACGTTCCTCGATTGTAAAGTTGTGAACGTTCAACACACACACACACACACACACACACACACACACACACACACATTAGCGATATC